TTGTAGGAATATCTTTCCTAATTAAAATAATAACCATGGAATAAAATTAATTCCTAATTTAGGAAGCCTAATTTTACTCTAATTAATAATATAATGTAGGAAATATATTTCCTACTAATCTTCATCTTCTAGAAGACTCCCAAGTCTCCTAATCCCAAGAGAAGATTCTAGTAGGAATTTTATTCTCCTAATTAATTAATATTTTTTTTTTTGGAACGATAGATGTAATATAGAAGAGCACAAAAGTGCAAAAAGAACAAATTACAAGACCCCAACAGGGTAATCTAAGGCCCCAACAGGGTAATGAGACAGGGGCCAACGGCCCAAACCAAAAACACGCCTAAAAACAAACCGAAATAGAAAACTGAGAGGACTCGCACATGGCGGCCTAAAGAGCTCCACAAACGAAAATAAAGGAAAATGAAAAACAGAGCCACTGCACAATGCCTAGCCTGTAATCATCTCTGAAACAAAAAACGAACAAACACCCAGAGCAAATACAAGGACAACCTACAGAACAAACTAGAAAGCAAATAAACACGACCCTACCCCAGAGAGAAACAAAACAAAGAAAGGACGCAGCCTCCCTCGACCGATGCAACTAGGTATCCGGCAGACAAACCGACTACAACGACAGCTCCAGAGCACAGAATCAACCGCCCACCACTGCATAAGGCCTAGCAAGACGGCAACCCATACTCCGGGAACAACCGAAGAGCTGGCCTGCACTCCATTCACGTGACTAGCAGACACGGCTCGGCTTCACCGAGTCAGCCCGCCTAAAACTGCATTCAATCGACCCTGCCCGAATCAGCTGAACACAACCAATCAATCGAGCTCTTACCGGAGCAGTACACTGACCCCAGCAGAACCATCGACCCCAAACAAGAATTCACATAACAGCTCGCCAAGAACAAACCGAGGGATTCTTCCGATTCAAGACAAAATTGAATACCGAGACTAAAGCAGCAATCTCAAGGGCGTACCTCCAGTTGATTCAACCTGGTGTCGAACAAGAGGAAGCCACAGGCAATCGCCACTTCGCCGGCGAAAAGGCACAGTCTTGACCGGCACAAGAAGGGCAAGCAGGGAGATTAAGCACCGTCCCAGCCAAAGCCGATAACAGCTAACCCAGCCTCATCCATGGCCCAGCACCGCTCCCCGACTATCTTCTACTGAACCTGGACTCCGGCGAACA